TGGATTTGGCAGCAGCAAAAGGAGGGGTATAGGGGCCCAGGGCCCAGATTAGGGGCCCCTGGCAGCAGCTATGGGGGGCCCGTAACCCTCCCAGAAACCCAAATTTTCAAAAAAATTGAACACACCGGCATTGTGAGGAGACCTGAAATTGGGGCACATGTCATGAGCCCACTGTGGACCTGGCACCCAGCATGGGAGGCGGTAGGGGGGCCCCCTTGGCAGTTGGGGGCCTTGGGCAGCAGCTAGGGGAGGCCCGAAATTTCTGCCAGACCCAAATGAAAAAAAAAGGGAAAACACCAGCAGTGTGAGGGGGCCTGAAAGTGGAAACATGGCAGAGTGTGGCGATGGAGAAAAGCAGCAAGGGGAAAGGCCCGTTACGGGGACCCATGAGAGCCCTCGGATTTGGCAGCAGCATAGGAGGCGGTATGGGGGCCCCATGGCAGATTAGGGGCCGGGAAGCAGCTATGGGAGGCCCGAAATCTGCCAGAAACCCTATGTAAAAAATTGAACACACCAGCATGTGGTGAGGAGACCTGAAAAGTGGCACACATGGCAGAGTGTGGCCGATGGAGACGAAGCAGCAATGGGGAGGCCCGTACAGGGACCCATGAGAGACATCTGGACTTGGGCAGCAGCATGAGGTAGGCGGTATAGTGTGCCCCAACAATTTTGGCAGATTAGGGGCCTGGGGGCGGGGGAGGGGGGGGGACAGAGCTATGGGAGGGCCCGTAATCTGACCAGGCACCCTATGATCCAAAAAAGTTGAACACAACCAGCAGCTGGAGTAGGTATGTGAGGAGACCTGAAAGTGGCCACATGGCAGTGAGTGTTGTGGCGATGGAGAGACAGCAGCAGAATGGGAGGCCGTACAGGGACTCATGAGAGACTCTGGACTGGCAAGCTGCATGAGGAGGCGGTGATAGGGGGCCACATGGCAGATTAGGGTGCCTGGCAGCCAGCTATGGAGGAGGCCCGTAATCTGCCAGCACCCTATGTCCAAAAATTTCAACAACACCAGCAGTGTGAGGAGACCTGAAAGGTGCTCTTGGCATGAGAACACTGTGGACCTGGCAGCAGCATGAGGACGGCGGTAATAGGGGCCCATGGCTGTTAGGTGCCTGGCAGCAGCTATGGGAGGCCCCCGTAATCATGCCAGCACACTATGGACAAAAAATGGAACAACACAGCAGTGTGATGAGACCTGAAAGTGGCACATGGCAGGAGTGTGGCGATGGCAGGGGGGTGGGGGGCGATGTGTGGCCGATGGAGACAGCAGCAATGGGAGGCCGTACAGGGGAACCCATGAGAGGACTCTGGGAACATGGCAGCAGCATGATGAGCGCGTATACGGGCCCCATGGCAGATTCGGGGCCTGGCAGCAGCTATGGGAGGCGCCCTAATCTGCCAGCACCCTATGTCAAAAAAATTCTACACACCAGCCAGGTGTGTGGAGGAGAAACCTGAAAGTGGCACATGGCAGAGTGTGGCGTTGGAGAACCATGCAGCAATGGGAGGCCGTACAGGGACCGATGAGAGACTCTGGTACTTGAGCAGCAGCGTTGAGGGAGGCTGGGATATAGGGGCCCGATGGCAGATATAGGGTCCTGGCAGCAGCTATGCGGAGAGGGCCGTAATCTGCCACTGCAACCCTATGTCAAAAAATTGAACACACCCAGCAGTGTGTGAGGAGACTGAAAGTGGCACATGGCAGAGTGTGGCGATGGAAGACAGCAGCAATGGGAGGCCGTACAGGGGACCCATGAGAGACTCTGGGACTGGCAGCAGCATGGAGGAGGCGGTATAGGGGCCCATGGCAGATTAGGGGCCTGGCAGCAGCTATGGGAGGCCCCGTATCTGCCAGCACCCTATGACAAAAAATGGAAGACACCACCAGCAGTGTGTGAGGGAGACCTGAAAAGTGGCACATGGCAAGTGTGCGTGGCGTGGAGACAACCCACCGACTGTTTTGGCTCGCTGCCAAGCTGCCACCCTCTTCTCCTGATGATGCGGAAGCAATAGCCTGATGACGACGAGGCTGCCAGTGCGATCAGCCTCATCATCATCAATTAGGGGGTCTCCGCCTCCACTACTAGCCCCCTCGGCTGCGTGGTGGGTCAGGAGACAGACCTGTCTCTAGAAACCGGCTACCGAGCCACTCTCCTCGCCACTACTCTTCGCCTGGCTGCTGAGAGGCGGATGTCTCCCCCCGTTCTGACCGCCCTCTGTTAGCTCTTCCTCACTGTACTGGATGACACCGGGCAGCACTAGCCTCTGGCTGCGAATAGTGCTGCCTCGACCCCTTCCTCTGCTGCACGTCTGCTGCTCGCTCCTAAAACATTGCCTCCTCTGGCCACTCCTCTGCATGTTTGTCTGACATACTCTTTAATTAAACGATTCTGTGTCCCTGAGTAACAAATTCTGTGTCCCTGAGTAAACGTTTCTGTGGCCCTAAGTAACAGTTCTGGTGGCCCTCAGTAACAATTCTGTGTCCCTCAGTAACAATTCTGTGTCCCTCAGTAACAATTCTGTGTCCCTCAGTAAAAATTCTGTGTCTGTCCCTGAGTAACAATTTTGTGTCTGTCCCTGAGTAACAATTTCTGTGTCCCTGAGTAATGTTTCTGTGGCCCTAAGTAACAGTTCTGTGGCCCTCTGTAACAATTCTGGTCTGTCCCTGAGTAACAATTCTGGTGTCTGTCCCTCAGTAACAATTCTGTGTCCCTGAGTTAACAATTCTGTGTCTGTCCCCTGAGTAAGAATTCTGTGTCTGTCCCTGAGTAACAATTCTGTGGCCCTAAGTAACGGTTCTGTGGCCATCAGTAACAAATTCTGTGTCCCTCCTGAGTAACGTTTCTGTGGCCCTAAAGTAACGGTTTCTGTGGCCCTCAGTAAACAATTCTGTGTCCCTGAGTAACAATTCTGTGTCTGTCCCTGAGTAACAATTCTGTGGCCCTAAGTAACGGTTCTGTGGCCCTCAGTAACAATTCTGTGTCCCTGAGTAAACAATTCTGTGGCCCTAAGTAACGGGTCTGTGGCCCTCAGTAACAATTCTGTGTCCCTGAGTAACAATTCTGTGTCTGTCCCTGAGTAACAATTCTGTGGCCCTAAGTAACGGGTTCTGTGGCCCTCAGTAACAATTCTGTGTCCCTGAGTAACAATTCTGTGGCCCTAAGTAACGGTTCTGTGGCCCTCAAGTAACAATTCTGTGTCCCTGAGTAACAATTCTGTGTCTGTCCCTGAGTAAAAAACAATTCTGTGTTGGCCCTAAGTAACGGTTTATTTCTGTGGCCCTCATGTAACAATTCTGTGTCCCTGAGTAACAATTCTTTGGCCCTAAGTAACGGTTTCTGTGGCCCTCAGTAACAATTCTGTGTCCCTGAGTAACGTTTCTGCAGGCCCTAAGTAAAGGTTCTGGGTGGCCCTCCAGTAACAATTTCTGTGTCCCTGAGTAACGTTTCTGTGGCCCTAAGTAACGGTTCTGTGGGCCCTCAGTAACAATTCTGTGTCCCATTGAGTAACAATTCTGTGTCTATGTGGTGTGAATCCTTGGAGCTATTATGAATCCAATAGGTGTTTAAAATACTAATTATACACTAGTCTTTAATATATGGTGCGCTGGCACTTACACAAACTCACTAACTTGGTTAGTGTCAAATCAATATAAATGGTATTTAAAGTGCCGCGCTCCTAATATTGTGCATGTATATCTCTAAATACACTCTATACTTGTAAACTCAATCAATGAATATATAAATCAAGTGTAAACCATAATCATAATCATGAGTAATATTCCATAAATTAATCAATACGATAAAATTATTACCAGTGAATTACACACATCATAGATTAGATGTGTGTGATGAAAGATGTGAAACCTTAATATAATGTGAGTATTAGGTGAATATTTGTGATACATATAATTAGTAGCTTTCTAATTATATACAATCAATCCAGTAATAATTGTGCAGCTATACACTCCCATGTGCTCGTTGCGTGCATGAGTGTAATAAATAAATAAATTAAATAAAAGTTTTTGTAAAAAAGTGCAAAAGTTGAGGGTGATTCCTTGTTTCCTCTCGCCAGGTGCCTTATGGTCTTCCTATGCGCTCACCTTTAAGTTTGCCTGAAAGAATTCAGGCAAATACGCTTTTTGATCCTGCCAGGATCGATGGATAAAAGCTTTGTGTTATAGATGTGCCAAGGTGTGGATGTAGGTACTCCTGTGTGCTCTCCTCTTTCTCCTTTATTCCACTGCTCATATATCGATTGTGAGACCAGCTTTATCTCCTTATTCCCCTCCAGGGGTCATCTCCTTCTCATTTCCTCCTCTCACCCATATGCAATTTGGGGGTCAGATATAGAGAAAATAAAACAAAACGATGGTGCCTTATCCTTTAGAATGATGGAAGTTTATTTCTGCCTGTGGCGGTATTATGCAGCTAGATACATTTCCTTGGTGGTACAGGGCGGCAAATACATCATATACAAATCCTGGGTGAGCAAACCTCTATCTCTGCTCTCCCTCCCTGCCTGCCTCTGTCTGTAGTCGGAATTACCGAGCCTCACCGCTACCACGTCGTGACGTCAGAGCCCCTCCCCTACGCGTTGCGTCACAGGGTCACGTGACTTCATCAGGGGGATAATGATTGGATGCCACGACTAGTATTGCCCATATATATATTACTCGGCGGCCGCCATCTTTGTGAAGCCCACAATACCAAGCACAATACCCAGTAATGAACCAACCATACCCAGTAACCACACATAACAGATACTCACCTTTAGCAAGAGAAACATCAAATTCACCCATCCCGAATCCTTTTTTAGGATGGGATCTGAACCACCAAGGGGGAGGGAAGAAGAAAAACAATATATGCAAGAAAGAGAGGGAAAAGAGGAGGAAGAAGGTCACAACAAAAAAAGAAGAAGGAATTTAAAAAATGAAGGAATTTTTAATATTAGTGGATTACCCCTAACAGAGGAGGAAACCTATGCGTTAAGTAAGGGTCTTAAGTATGCACCGCAAAAAGGGTTAAATAAATTTGATACGTATGTGAGCATACAGAAACTAATTAGGAAATTGAATTTGAAAAAAATATTATGCTAGCAATCCCATCACACACAATAATGGAACAATGGAACATACTACATTTAGTCAATTGAGGAACAAGTCAGTGTTCAACCCACAAATTGGAGATAATAAGTACATAGATACGTTTAAAACATATGGTATTGCAAGATCTGGAATCTCTCCAGGTTAAAAAAAACTTATATGGCAACCAAATTAAAGAGAGGCCTAGACACATTGAAAAAGAGGAATGATATCGTAATACGTCCAGCAGACAAGGGAGGGGGAATAGTGATACAATCTAAGACATATAACGAATCAATTATGACAGAAATGCTTAATGATAAAGAAACATATGCTGTGCTGATAAATAATCCTACTAAGGAATATAAGAAAGAACGATAAAGTTGGTTTCCATATGGCAAAAAGAAGGGAGTGATAAATGAGAAAGAATATGAATACTTAACACCATCAGTATTTGTAGACAACCAATAAATGTATTCAGTTCCCAAAATCCCATAAAAACAGTACCCACCGCCGGGTACGAAGACCCATTATAAATGGAATAGATTCGCTTACAGCAAGATTGGGTGAATATGTGTAGACTCATTATCTGCAACCACTGGTAATTAAAACCAGGGCTTACTTAAGGGATACAAAGCATGGTAATACAAGAAATAAAGGATATACAGATTAACAACAACACGCTTTTGAGTTCAGCGGATGTAGCAGCATTATATACTAATTACTAATATAGACCATCAGGGAGCCATAGAAGCAGCTAAATGGGCGCTTAACAAATATGGAAATATCCCTAGTAAGCACAAAAAATTCATTATAAAATGCCTAAAATTCTGTCTCACTCATAATTATTTTTGGTATGGTAACACTTATTATTCCCAGAGTAGGGGAGTTGCTATGGGCGCTAAATTCGCCCCTAGCATTGCTAATCTATATATGGCGAAATGGGAAGATGATAGTGTATTTCAAAATATGCAAACGGGAATATTAGTATACACAAAAGGTAATATTGATGACCTATTGATTATATGGAATGGAGAGAAAGAAGAATTGACTAAATTCTATGAAGATCTAAATAGGAATGAAGCTAATATACAATTGAGTTATGTTATACATGACAGTTTTATAAATTTTTTAGATATTCAGATTTTTAAAGAAGAAACACAATTATGCACTAAAAAATTATTTTAAATCAGTAGACAGAAATGCATACATCCCTATAGATAGCTGCCATCACAAAGCGTGGTTAACAAATATCCCCAGAGGCCAGTTAATTAGGATCAAAAGGAACTGTACTCAAATGAAGGACTATGTAGAACAAAGTAGAATACTATCAGAAAGATTTATACAAAAAGGGTACAAAAAAGAAAACCATACAAGAAGAAAGGGAGAAAGTAGGGTTCATGGATCGTAATAAGTTGGTAGTAGATAAACAAAAGAGAACACTGAAAAAGAATTATCAGTAGTACTACAATATAACACACAGTACAAATCAGTACAGAATATAATAAAGAAGCATTGGAAGATTCTAACAATAGATAAACATCTGAAGAACAATATTCCGGAAATACCTAGGTTTTATATACAAAAAAGCTCCCAATATTAGAGACAATGTGGTCAAAAACATACTAGAACCACCCACTAAAAGACATCAACTCAGTTTTTTCCAGGGAAAGGGGTTTTTTTACCTGTGGCAGATGCTATAGCTGCACCAGAGTGGTAAATAACCCCAGAAGAAGATATACATTTCAGAACCCCATCAGCGGAAAAGAAGAGGTTTATAGCATCAAGCAATTTATATCATGTGACACAAGAGGGGGAAGGGGGGGAGGGGTTATATATTGCTTAAAATGTCCGTGTAACCTGATATACATTGGTCGCACGAAAAGAATGCTATAAGAGAAAGAATAAAAGAACATGTATACAACATCAATAGAGGGTTAATAAATTCCACCATTTATCCCAGCACTTTAAGAAATATCACAATAAAGATGCAAGACTTTTGGAGTTTTGGGGTGTAGAAAAACATGTACAACACAGGAGGGGAGGGGAACAACTTAACAAGAGAAAATAAGTAAGAAGGAATCCAAGTGGATATACGAAATGGGTTGTCTAGCTCCTAATGGGTGAGCAAAGAATTCGATCTGACATGTTTCATTAGTAATAAATAAGCATGAGTATGTAGAGACAGAAGCCACTATATTTGATCTGAAAGCCTACCAAATCAATATAGGATGAGGATTGCTTTCAATCTAATTATCACTTTCCAATTTTAATAAAGTATATCTACATTTAATATTTATATACTTAATTTTTAATTTTTTAATATATACATTTTTTAATATATTCTTTATATATTTTTTTAATATTTCTTAATAACTTTCTACTACTAATAGACGTACGAGTAGATAATATTTAGTATCTGTAATAAGTTTAGATAGGGTGCACAACTAACCCTATAATTATTAAACAAGTTGAGAGTGAACGTGAGAGTTATACACATTACCTTAGATTAGGATGGTTTCGTTAAATGACAGGTTAGGGGCTTTGATATAAGTGTTGGCATCAACATCAATATGAATGTATATAAATTATTTTATATTTGTTGTACTAGCATAAATATCAGGGGGTTTTATACTTAATTTATGTTTTGAGATGTATTAAAGATTGTAAATATTTGTAAGGTTGACTGCTGCAGCAGGATATACACACAGCTTTATACAAAGTAATCCGTGATTAGCAATAGGAGAGATGGATTGCAGCTGACCCGAGTAGCCACGTCTGACAGACAGATCTATCCCTGCACTCAAGTGGATTTTTACGGGACAGACACTGAGTTGCAGTAAAGGCACAAAAATCAACTAGAAAATGGCCGCGCCCATGTGGGCTTCACAAAGATGGCGGCAGAGTAATATTATTTATATGGGCAATACTAGTCGTGGCATCCAATCATTATCCCCCTGATGAAGTCACGTGACCCCCTGTGACGCAAACGCGTAGGGGAGGGGCTCTGACGTCACGACGTTGGTAGCGGTGAGGCTCGGTAATTCCGACTACAGACAGAGGGCAGGCAGGGAGGGAGAGCAGAGATAGAGCGGTTTGCCTTCACCCCCCCCAGGATTTGTATATGATGTATTTGCCCGCCCTGTACCACCAAGGAAATGTATCTTGCTGCATAATACCGCCACAGGCAGAAATAAACTTCCATCATTCTAAAGGATAAGGCACCATCGTTTTGTTTTATTTTCTCTTTATCTGACCCCCAAATTGCATATGGGTGAGAGGAGGAAATGAGAAGGAGATGACCCCTGGAGGGGAATAAGGAGATAAAGCTGGTCTCACAATCGATATATGAGCATTGGGAATAAAGGAGAATGAGAGGAGAGCACAGGAGTACCTACATCCACACC